CCTGCACGACACCTGCCTGACAGCTGACGTGAAATAAATAATCAGATTTAGGATAGACAATACCAAACAGTTAAAAAAAAAAAAACCTCAATCAGCCCCGACCCCGATTCTTGAGATCAGCTTGGGACATCCCTAGATAAGAGTAAGTACTAAAGTACTAAATAAGAAAAATATATTCTCTTAATTAAGATAGATCTTTGGAATTCTATGCAGATCGCGGAAAAGAAGTTTTAATCCTCCTCTCCCTACCATCTTGTTAGCCAACATACAGTCTCTGGATAACTCATATGACGAACTTAATGCGAGAATCACATTCCAGCGGGACATTCGAAACTGCTGCGTTCTGGCTTTCTGTGAGACGTGATTACACTCAGAAGTACCCGATACGGCTATAACACTGCCTGGATTCTCCGTTTTTTGTCATGACAGATCGCTAAACTCCGGTAAGAGCAGAGGTGGAGGCGTGTGTTTTATGATTAACACTCGCTGGGGCACTGATGTTACAGTTTTATCTACACACTGCTCCCCAGAGATCGAACTGCTCTCTATTAAAGTGCGTCCCTTCTACCTCCCGCGGGAGTTTAATTCAGTCATTCTCACAGTTTTTTACATCCCGCCTCATGTGGACAAAACTAAAGCATTGGACAAACTACAGCACCATAAATAGATTAGAAATTGCTCATCCTGAGGCTGCTTTCATCGTTGTTGGGGATTTTAACAGGGTGAATATGGGGAAAGTTCTTCCTAAATTCTACCAGCACATACATTTCCCCACACGAGGGGATCAGACATTAGATCACTGCTATTCAACACTAAAGGACAGTTACAAACCCCTCCCCCGACCAGCATTTGGCAAAGGTGACCACATTAGCATACTGCTGTTACCAGCCTACAGACAATGCCTCAAACAGGAAAAACCAGTTTCTAAAACAGTCACAAATGGAGTGAAGATGCCATCGCCACACTGCAGGACTGCTTTGAATCCACAGACTGGCAGATGTTTCAAGATGCAGCAGGAGACGACATACATAAATACACAGATTCTGTGATATGCTACATCAACAAATGCACAGAGGATGTTGTGCCATCCATTAATGTTAAATCATTTCCAAACCAGAAACCATGGGTCAATGGTGAGGTGCGTGCCAGGTTAAGAGCACGAACTCCTGCCTTCAACTCTGGGAATCTAAATGCTTACAAGAAGTCCAGGTATGACCTTCAAAAAACTATCAAATCAGCCAAAAGAGACTTTAGGGACAGAGTGGAGTCAGAATATCACGGCTCTGACCCCCAACGCATGTGGAGCAGTTTGCGCTATATCACTGACTACAAAGGAAGGAAAAGCAGTGTTGTGTCTTTGTCTGCCTCCTTACCGGACGAGCTCAATACATTCTATGCTCGCTTTGAGACAGGCAACACATTCCCTGCTGTGAAAATACCTGCTGACCTTGACACCTGCCCTTTGGTTCTAAACACACTCGAAGTGAGTAAGGCCTTCAAGAGAGTCAACGGCCGGAAAGCTCCAGGTCCAGATGGCATTCACGGACATGTTCTGAGGGCCTGCGCTGTCCAGTTAGCAGATGTCTTCACCAACATCTTCAACCTCTCCTTGAGACTAACAGTGATCCCCACATGCTTCAAGCAAACCACCATCATCCCTGTTCCCAAAAAAACAACTGTCTCCTGCCTGAATGACTACCGCCCTGTAGCACTGACATCAGTCATCATGAAGTGCTTCGAACGTCTAGTCAAATAACACATCTGCTCCTCTCTACCCGACACCTTGGACCCATTCCAATTTGCTTACCGCTCAAACAGATCCACTGATGACGCCATTGCAATGGCCATACACTCTGCCCTGGAACACTTGGAGGGAAGAGACACCTATGTGCGGATGCTGTTTGTTGATTACAGCTCTGCATTTAACACCATCATCCCTACCAAACTTATAGCCAAACTGAAAGATCTGGGTCTTAACAGTCATTTATGTAACTGGGTCCTGGACTTCCTGACTGGCAGACCCCAGGTGGTTAGAATTGGCAACCACACATCCTCCTCACTCACACTCGGCACTGGTGCCCCACAGGGATGTGTACTCAGTACTCTCTTGTACTGTCTGTTTGTCATAAAGATTGAAGAGTATCTATCATCCAGCAGTTTTAATTTTGACTGCCAACTCTTTAAAATACATCAAGCCATCTGAAAGCCCGTGATGATAATTTTCTGCTGATTACAGAACCGGCATTACTATCAAAATGCGCATGACAATCGCATTCGATTAATCGTGCAGCCCTAGTTACTAGTATACTTTAAAATAATGTACATTCAATGTAATGAAAGTAATGTTTTTATTTTACTGGAGACTTTATTGCATGTTAATTGCAAATAAATGAACATGTATTATGGTTTAATTTTATATTAAATGCAGTTAGTTGAATGTAAGAGTGCTTTTTGACCCAAGTACATCTATATATGTAATTTCATAAATACTTCTATTGTCTTTGAAATATGGTTAAAGTTTATTGCCAGTTTAACTAGTTAAAATGAAGTCACTTTTACATGTGCTTTATTATGTTAGTCAACATATCATCGAAATAAGTGTGCATCTTTTAAGCATGTCAAAAGATTATGAAAACATAATGAATTGATATGTATTTTATTACAATATGCACTTTTTAAAAGTGTACTTAAGTGTGTTAAGTAACATAGTCATAAAAGTGGACTCTTTAATTACACTTAAGTGGTCTTTTATATTGTTAATATTATATTGTCTGCAAGTGCAGTTTTTTTAAACTATACTTTTGAAGTACACTACAAGTACACGTTCAGTACAATTAAGCACACTTCTCTTTCACAAGGGTTTGAATATGTCCTGCTACAGAGCGTATAAAAAGTATATTATGTCAAATGAGTGGGACACGGGTCAAAGGGCAGCGCTAACATGGCCGGCGTCCAGGCAAATGTCAGGGTTTCCCTGCGGCTGAATCAGGAATAATCACAGGAGCTGTGTGAGTGCGACAAGCGGTGCATGTAAAGTTTAGGATCACGAGGGCTATGAGGGGACGTCCTTCCCCTGCTCACTCCAGGCCGTTCCCTCAGGAGAGCCATCTAAACATAGAAGCACCGCTACTGACCATGTGCTTTTGTGTGCTGTATATTTAGGTGAGGTGTTAGTGTGTCTGGCCAGGATCGTGAGTACATACATGTGTGAGAGAGAAGAGTGTGAAAGGTTTGTTCATTGCATTAGTATCTCTATATTTATACACACACAGTACAGCTCAAGTGTCGGGCAGTTCTTTGTTTATTATCGCTTGCACGGCTGTCCATTTGCTGCCCATATTCTTACTGTAGAATCATTTAAAGGGATAGTTCACCCAAAAATGAAAATTCTGTCATTATTTAGGCTACACTCCACTTGT